GAGACAGAACAAAAAGATGGAAGTTAAAGCACTTTCATTTTAACAATTAAGTAAGAGCTTTACACGTTTTTAATGCTCTTCCCATTTTAAAGAAAACGACAGTTGAAAATTTTTAATATTGAAGTAGAACTTTCCTTCTAGGAAGATGATGACATGCTGTTAAAATATTCCCCAAACACTCTTACCATTCATATTATGATTCCTGATGGAAATAAATTTCTCTACCATTTCTTTTTTTTCATATGCACACGAATGAAAATTTATGTGAATATAGAATCTTAAAAAATGGGAAACACATAACTGTGCATTAAAGTTTTAGAATAGAATTTTGAGTTTTAAAGTTATTTGGGAATGATGAGCTGAGCGTATTTTATTCTGAGTGACAATCTTTTGGTATTTTGAGACACTTGAGCGATAAGAAAGCTGATGATGATGTAAAGTTATATACATGTAGTTTCTGCACAGAGTTGAATCTAGGGTATCAAACCATATATAAGCAAATCTGTTAGTGTGAGAGTAAGGCCTCTGTGGTCGAGTGGTAAGATAAAAGATCGGAAATTTGTTTAATCTTTTGTGAGTACGTGGGTTCTATTCCCACCAGAGATCGATTTCTTAATTCATCATATAGAGTGTTAAGATATGACAAGGATTTGCACAATGCTCACGATATTACAACAGATATAATACTCGGACTCGCAGACCACATCATCTGTTTTACCTTCCCTTTAGATTCAACTATAGAATTCCAATATCTTTGATAAATCCCCTACAAAGTCCGCGTATTGATGAGAAGGGACTAGACGCTGAATTTATCAGTTGTGAACATAAGCTTCCAGCCAATCAGAGAACCTCATGAGTGCATTCAGTCTCATTGATAAGCTTTGTTTACTCAGCATCGACGCTAACACTATTTTGATTTAATACATCAATAAAAATTTTTGTACGTAAATTTTGTGATAGGAAAAATCTGAAGTTCTATAAGTGAACGACCTTAGCAAAATACGCTCAAAAAACTCTTCTTCTTCCATCTCCAACAAAAAAAAAGGTGAGTGTAAAGTGCATTTAATTTATGTACGAAATGATGAACGAAAAGAGCATAACGTAGAAAGTAACAAACTTTTCCCATAATCAAGGATGAAAAATGAAATATTTGTGAATTATTTTTGATGGTGTTTATTTCAGCATTCAACTCATCGCATTATCGCTTTACAAAAAAATGCGAGCTTATCGAGTTGATGTGCTGTATTTTGCGGTGCTTTTTTGTATTTTTTCTTTTGTTTCATATAAAAATTGTTTTCCTTATTTTTTGCTATCTATATTTCTACCATTATTTAGGATTTTCACGCCTAAAAAGTTTTACATCTTTTTCAGTATTTTTACAGAGTTTTGTTTTGTTTGTTTACTTTTATTATTGTTAAATGGGTTAACATAACATTAACCGCAAATTTTTATATGCATTTTGTTATTTACTAATTAATGTTTATGCCTTAAAAATTCTACATTACTTTTATACCCTATTATCATTAATCATAAATTTTCCATGCATACACCTAGTGCTAGGCGTATGGATGTGTGGATTTGTTTAATAATATTTTCATTTATCTTCGTAATTAATTTCAACAATAAACGATCTTTTAATTTTATTAATTAATAAAAACTTTTTTTCATTGTTAATAATTCTCTTTTATATATTACAGCTCCTCACAGAATTTCATTTCCACAGGTTCCAAAATTGCGTACGTGAATGTTGATATTTAATGAATTTGTAATTTAATATGTTTGACTTGCAATATTTTATATTATTGCCATTATCTTTTATTTATACAAAATGAGACCGAGATGGGGGGGAGGTGGGGACAGCAGGGTATGTAATATAATACGCACATATTTGCGAAACATTTACATTTTGATGTTTCTGTCAATAAAGGAGGAAATGACAACAAATGTGAACTAAGAAGATGATGCGAATGGCAAGAACATGAAGAGTTATGCTTAATATATGCATAGACTATAGCTTTAATGAATATTCACAGAAGTTTGAATTTCATAGAATTTAAAATTGAAAATTTAATTCAAAACCTCATTTAATTGTTAAATAATAATGCAGGATAGCCTTACAAAGTATTATTTACGGTCAACAGATTTCTTTTGAATCACAGCTGAATATGTACAAATGAGAAAGGTAAATGCAGAAATTTTCAATTTATATAAACGATTGTGGTGAACAATCTTTTGTTATCACAGATAACATTTTGGATAATGTTTGCTGGTGAAGCTGTTTATGTTTATAGAAAAGATTTTTGCAGCATATTCATATCTAGACATAATAATTATTAAAATTTAAAATTAGAAAGATTGAGATTATCTAAATTAGAATCAAATCAATATTGTAGAACTAATCATAATGATCAAAATGATGAAAAGAGTTAAAAATATGATCAAAACTGATCAATTTATCAGTTCGGCACCCTTGAACAATTATTGGAATAACAAACTCTTTTAAATATTTCGAGTCAGAGAATCGCTAAAGTAAGTACATCTCCACTGTTTCCATCAGGCCATCCAACAAGCCACTAATCCATTTCATTTCATAAATTCTCATTCTTAAAGCTTTTGAAAATTTGGCAATACATCAACAAACTTTAAGCGAGAGTTTGACCAAGAGGATATGGAATTCAATTTCAAATGATGATAAACTTTTAATTCAAAAATGCCAAATCATTTCCTCAATGCACATTTTTTCAACTTTATTAATAAATCTAGAACAAAACTAAAACTTGATTTCAGTTTTTTGAAATAACAGTGCATTCAGCTATAGAATAAATAATGCAGAACGTAATTTATTTATTCTAAATTATGTTGTGTAAATATATTATTAGGATATCCATTTCATAAAGCCATAATGTATGATATTTCCATAGAATTTGTCATATGACTTTCATCATATTAACATCATTGAAATTATCTCATTTACTTTATCATCCACCCACCATACGCCTCTACATTGTTATTGTTGTATGTCGTACAAATAGACATTTTTTTAAAGCTCTGCTTCCTTGGAATTAGATCACTGTATGTGGGATTTTGTTGTACTTTTTTCTGGCATTTTTGTTCCTCATTCTCATCACATAAATATCATCATTATTTTTATTTTTACCGAGCCGCAGAAATTTTTTCTTTTTTTCTGTGTTTTGCGCTTTTTTTCTATAAAGCATCCATAAAAAAGAGAAAAGAACGATGAGCATTAAAAGGCATAGAAAAAAAGCATTCTTTTGCAAGTCTTCATCGCATTTTAAGCACATAAAAGCATTTTTACTGGTTTTATAGAAGAATAAGGAAAAAGAAGAACGTAAAAAATGGAACGGCATGAAAAACAATCAACAGAAAATATTTTCATTATGTGGAAATGACAAATATCATAGATAAGCTAAAAATAGAATGCCTGATGATGTTTTTTTTTTATAAACATATTAAATCTTTAAATTATTATTTTTTTTTGCCACTGAGATCTTATCACTTTTCTTCGCTTTCGTCTCGCTTTCTTTTTGTGAAATATTCATAATCACGCACGCAATTTTTTTTTCTTCTGTGGGTGTCGAACAAATAAGCTTCGTTTTAGAACTTTGTGAGGATTTTTTTTTTCGTTTTTCTTTATTTTTAATTAAAATTTTTTTTTCATAATATCACCTGTAGTTTTTTACTTTAGATTTATTAATGTTTTATTTTATTTTTTTTAAGTTTATTTTTTTATGGAGGGGAATTTTTTATGGAGAAGAATTTTTGAGACTTTTGAGACTTTAAAGAGTATTTGAAATTAATCATTAGCAATTTTATAATTTTTAAAGTTTTCACAAAAATGTAAGTCCCACAGAATCAAATCCTAAAGATTGCCCACTCTTTCAATAGAATTTTTGTCTTTTTTTCGAGCCGCTCTAGCTTTAGGAAGGATGGTGGGGAGATTATGATGATTTTTTGTCCGTTTCTCTTTGAGACTCAATTGTAATATTTAAATATTTTGTTTTAGAATTTAGTAATAATATTCAACATTATCAACTCATTAAAATGAATTCAGAGCAAATCCTTTTAACCTTCAACTGAAGTAAATTTCAAGTCTCGATTTTCTCGTTAAACTTATGTCAAATACAATATTGAACACCAGAATGCCATTATCAACATCTAATGATTTTAAAATGACAACGAAATTTTGTTTAACATGAGATTCATTTTTGGAAAATTCAGCTCGAGGAATTTTGTTTAGAATATTTTAAGCTCAAACAACATTCTGATGTAAGAAAACATCTAAAAATTAATCAAAATTCCAAAAAGTCTCAATTTTTCAAATAATCTCCTCCAAAAAACCTTTCCCACTCCGATTATTTCCGCTATTTTTTATTTTAAATGTTAGGATTTAATTAAAAATTTCTTTATTTAAGTTACCACGTTAATATAATTTTCTTTGATAATTTTCTTAATTTGTCATTTAATTTCCTAGTGAATCACTTTTATTCATTTTCACACCTCCACGCGCAAACATGAAAAGTTATTAACTTTCTCATCATGTTTATCTATGAACATTACATCATGATGATATTTATGTTATGTACTTTATAAAAGATTCTGTTCACATCCCGTCGTCTAATTTAATTTTCATTATTTATATTCAGCCACTGAGTGAATTTTTTTTCTTTTAATTTTTACTCATATTTCATGTCTTTAAGTATATCATTTTTGTCTCTCTAACTTGAACACTTTGAATTCTTCATCATTTTATTATTTTTTTTTGTCTTAAATAATGCAGTAATTTTGTCTCTTTTGTCTCCGTATTTTTTTACCCTACTTATTTTTTTTTCGGTATGTAAAATTCGAGAGAAAATTCTTCAAAATGATGTTCTTATGTTATGCGAGTCGAGAAAAAAAATAATGGGGTTTGGGGAGAGAGAAATGTAATTGCTTTTATGTGATGTACGAAGAAAACAAAATTAGAACGAAAAAAAATCCCAAAAAAATTTATCGAGCGCCATAAATACATGTGTCAATAATAGCAATTTGCCGTTCTTTTGTTTCATCTTTTTTTTGTGTTGTTCTAATTTTATCGAAAATATTTTTGGGATTAGAAACTTGAAGGGATTGAGTTTTTAAGGAGAATCGAGGCATCGAGCCATATCGTAGAATAATCTGGTACAAGAGTATGTGGCTGAGCGATTTTAGCAGTTGACTGAAAGTTTGAAACTTTATATTTTGGAATAATGTGGGTTCAAGTCCCACAAGAGGCTCATTTTGTCAATAATTACATAGAGCATTGGTTTACTAGCTCTTTAGATGGCAATTCACTTAAGCAATTATTCATATGGTTTAGATTTGGTGAACTGCCATACTTTTCGCGACACAGTAGCGTCTCGAAGAGCAGTTTTTAAGAAGCACTGACAATAAGTGTTGTTTATACGACAAGGTTTGGCAGAATGCTTCTAATTCATTCCTATGTATCCAGATGTGCTTTCGTTACAAAACTATAAACTATAGTGAGGTTCAAAACTTTAATATTCAAGTCTGTTGCTTTAAAATTGGAAGTTTAAAGCTTTACACTAAAATCATTCTTCTACAAAAATGTGGTTTGCTTAATATGAGTTTCGAACTCAGAATTACTTGCTTCGAATTGTAGTATTTATGTCCTATCTTCATGACCACAAGTGGTCGATAGCACTTGAACTATATCTTCAAAATACTAGCAAAAATTTAATATAAATTCACAGTAATTAGTTTCATAAGATCCACCCCTAAAGTTTCTAATCCTCAAAAATGTTTTTTTTTTGTTCACATCAATTCAATGAAAAAGAAATGATTTTTGTGTTTATATGTGTGTACCGAAGGGGAGAAAATTTAGCGGCAGCATTTGAGTAAGCAAATATTTAGATGATGAGATACTTTATTATCTCAATCTCCTTTCCTCCTTTTCTTTTTCATTGAGAACTTTTTTCTTTCAAAAATAATTTTTCTTTAGCTACTGCTACATCCTCAATATATTATAACAAATCGATACGCTATAGCAATATTATATTAACGACACACAAAAAAAAATGAGAAATGATTTGTTTCGATAGCATTAAGGAGATGGAATTTGATTCGCTATTTCATTTCCATTACATTTCCCGCACAATGAATTCGATGTAATCGCAATAACGTGAAAAAAATGACGCAATTATTTATTTTTTTTCTCCTTACTTTTTCGCACACATACCTAAGGTATATGTCATGTATATATATATATAGATTTCTAGTTCTATGCCTTAAAATTCAATTATTGATCATTAATCTTTATTATTGTTATTCTTATATAGCAATAACGTTGACTTGATTTAAAATCACGAGGAATAAATAACGTCAGCGGTTAAAGGATGAAATTTGGTGCACTAAATAAGACTGCTACCGTTGAAATTATTGTAAATAATGTAAATATGATAAGGCACAGTCGGTCAACCACCATTGCTGCAAATTTCCAGTCCTTTGTTATTTCACCTTTCTCATCTTCACTTCGTAGCTGCATTTTTTATTCATAATTTTTTTTTTCATCATTCATTTTGCGAAGCACAAAAGAATTTTTTTAATTTAATTTTTTTTTGCATTACGTATAATAAAGATGAGAACGAAGATCCCAAAAAGAATGGCATGGCATGAAGCATTGGGGGATGAAAAAGACAAACATATATTTTTGGTTAAAAATATAATATTTTTGTAAAAAAATATGCCTTTTGTTATTGAAATTGGAAGTGGTGCTGAAATTGGAATTAAATTTTAATTCTGTTCTTGGAAATGTTTTTGTGAATATTGACAGCGAGCTTATGGAGCTGAAATGTATTTTTTTTTATTTTGGTGAATTGAGCTGGATTTGAGTTTTTTTTTGAGGCTTTTTAATGTTTGACCTGAAAAGTGTAAGAATTTTCTAAAAATATCGGATAACTCAGAAAGTATTTATTTTTAATCCTGTAAGCTTGTAAATAAGTTAAATCGGAGCTGTTCAGAATGAAATGTCAATTTTTGTGTATTTTTTTTTTAAAGATGCAAGTTGATAAAAATATCAAATAATAAAGTAGTTTCTGTTACACTGCTTATGGCAGCTCATAGCTGGTTTTTTTAAAAACATGTGGAAAGATTTTTGGAAATAATTTTAATTGTCAATTCAATACCAAGAATCAGAGACATCTAAATTCCAGTTTTTTAATTTAAGTCTAGTTCTGAGGCGTAGTCAGGAGGTTGAGAATTATCTCTTCTTGCCGAAATTTATTTAAAATTCTAAACATTACATTGATTCAAAATTACCGCGATCTTCCCCTCTCCTCTCCTTTCTTACCTCTTTCAAAGTTAACGACAAAAGCACAGTGGCGACTCAAAGGAGAACAGAGGGTGTTTTGCCCTTGGCTATTTTTTGATTTTATTTCGCTATTTCAAGAGCAAGTGACTCAGGTGATACTTTATGATCGTATACAAAATTTATTTTTGATCCTTTGATATACCACCGAAATCCGAAATCAAATGTGTCTGATTCTTAGTTTTTCTCAACAATAAAAAATCTTGCTTTCGACTTTTAGAGTCTGTATTGCTTATTTTCAAAATCATTTTCCAAAAAACATTATTTTTGAAGTGATGTTGAGGTCCAAAAAATTGGAAGTCACTACCGTTGTCCATTATCAGACCGTCGGAAATATATCAACAGCTTCTCAAAAACATTAAGCTCTATTCTAAAGAAACTACTAATCTAACAATCAAAAAGTATATTTACAGTCAAAAGCCATCAAAATTGTAGAAAAGGAAGCTTCCAAAAAGATTGTTTGATGCCCCTAAAATTGGGCAGAGCTCAATCAAAGTCAGTTGAAGTCATTTCTAATTGACTCCTAGCTTTAAGTCCTCTAAAAATGTCTATTAATAAAAACAAAACTACTTTGGCAACAATCACAAAAACTTCATTGCACAAACAGCCTCAATAAATTAAGCACTCCGATAAATTTCCAAGAAAAAATCTCAGCAACCTCACAAAATCATCTTTAATTAGCTCATTCCTTTCCAAAATCACCAATGACATCCAACTCTTTCCATAAAATTCGCTTCCAAAAATAGATTCAATAAAACTTTTCCAACGAATGTTAATCTCAATAAATTAAAATCTACTTCCGTTCCTTGCGACAATCTTCCATTGAAAAAAAAAAGAAAAAAAAAGTTATCAGTAAGGACAGCAAAAACTTCCATTTGATTAATAATTTTTCTCAATCTTTTTTACATCCATTTTTTTTCCTCATTCGTATGCTTGTTGATAATAAATCAACTGCCACGCGTAAAGCTGGTAAACAGTGAGATTATTAATTAAGTGAATTCAATTTTTGTTACATTCAGTCAGCGAAGGAACGATGAAAAGTATCATCATGAGTCGGATGGAAGGGAAGCATTTAAATAACTGTCGTAGCGGGTATCATTAAGGCACAGTGTACTAAAGAGTAAATGAATGAACGCTGCTAAGCAGACGCATTTAGTAAAATGAAAGGCATATAATAAATGAAAATGTGTAAATCACTGAAAATTATTTGCTCATGCAGTAAAGCATGAGGATGGAAGCGAAAGGATGGAAGAAGACGGAGTAAGAGAATTTTTTTTTATATTTATAGACGAACGTTTGTCGATGAAAGGAAGGAGCTACATGAAAATAATGACAATGATATAATCTTTAATTTTAGAAGGCAACCCAAATAGATTCGCTGATGTTGTTAAGGAGCTGATATTTCTTTAATAGAATTTAAAGAAGTTACAGTCTACAGCAGATGGAAATGCAGAATTAAGAAGCTTTATCTGCTATTTCATTTCTTTTTATTTTGAGAAATGGAAAGACGGGTTTTTGTTTACATAGTTGCAGTAACAGCAACAGTAGCAGTAGAAAACTAAATTTATAACCTATAAAATATGCAATTTAATAGCTGCAATTTCTGGTTGCAAAAACTTCCAGTTCCGATTAGTTGAGCTTACAGTAAATAAAAGTAAAGCATGGTACGAAGATAGTGGATGTTGTTGAGTTACTTCATAGTTGAATGAGAACTTAAAAGATATAAATTATTAATATTGTATGCAAAAGCTTTTAAGCTTCCATCATTTCAGGAAAATAATACTTTTGTAAAGCATTAATCGCTAGTCATTGTGCATTATTGAGATCTGACTTGCTGCTGGAAACTTTATATTTATTTTTTTTTATGTTGATCATTAAATTTTCTGGACATTGAATGCAAACTGTATCTGCTTGTTAGTACAAAATATGATAAATAGTTCGACTGTTGCTTAAATGGAGCAAGAATATCAAAAAATGAAACATTATGCACATAGTATGGAAGTGCTGCATAAACTTTCATATCTCATTAATGGACGAGTGCTGACATAAAAATTTATGGAAATAATTGACAATGATGCTTCTGTTTGCTTAATATTTTGAGAATGATACTTGGTTGGAAGCTTGTGGAGTTTGAATTACATCCTAAAAAGAGTCTTTCATGAAAATTTAATTTACATTAAAAATAATTTAAAATATTTTTTATTCAAAAGTCCTCAAGTCAGTTCTGTGAAAATGGATGTCTAGGCAAGAGGTATAGCATCAATATCTTCAAAAATTATGACTTTTATCTCAACTTACAAAACTATGGTCATTGGGATTATTAACATGCTTTATGTCTTCTAGATATAAAAATCTATAGCATTCGTAATCTAAACATATCTGGATGTTTGGGCATCAAAAAATTTCATTCCAGACTAGACCAGAAGAACTTTTTCAAAGCAAGTACTTATTCAAATTTTGTCTGAACCTGGCAATTAGCCAGATAGTAACGCTGCTGCAACTAATTAGTATTCACTAAAGTAAATTTCTCAACAACATCCAAAGGGGTCGTTCACCAGTGACGTCCAAAACTTAAGTTGTGCTGGGAAAAGGGTTTAGGGTTGCTGAAGTTGTGCGACACTCCAAAAAAAGCTGGTAGTGGACGGGAAAAAATTATATTTTGATGGACGTCAAATATGAACAACCGCAAAAAGCTCTCAACATAAAATTTAAAAAAATAAACTTTATTTTCTGAAAGAGAAAACTTTTCTAGCCGGAAAAGTTGCCTCAGTCTGCATCGTCATATTTTTCAGAGGTAAAAGGCCTTCACAAACTTTTTGATGAGCTTCCATAAGCTTCCCATAATTTACACAATAATTTTTTTTCCATATTTTTTTTAATATCATAAAAAGAATTTAATTTGTTTAATCCTAAAAGAGCTTTTAAAGCATAAAATGGAATATAATTTTTTTCTTAAATCTGTTCTCCATATTTTCCTTCTTATTTCCTCCCATATTTCCTCTTTTTCCATCCTCCACATTTTTTTCTTCTTTTGTCTGAGCGAGAAAATTTTTTCCGTAAAAAAATGTAATTAAATCAACTTTTACCTTTGTAGATTAATAAAATAAATCCCATACATCCCACATATTTTTTTTTCTCGTTCATTTATACACTTGCTCTTGGAAATAAACCATTACCGCCATTACACGAGTGAGAAAGCAATGAAAATTGAAACAAACGCTCCACATAATGAAAGCAATAAAATATTTTGACTTTGGTTAAATAATGCATAAAATTAATGGACAAAAGCAAAGAAGAAATGAAATGAATATAGAAAAAAATAAGATTCCGATCGGTACATATTGAAAGGTTGTCCACATGACTATCAACTAGACTGCATTCTTGGAAACGTCGTTTGATTCTTAACTTGTAAGTAAACTATCTGCTTAACAGTCGTATAGATCCTTTCAATGTGTACAGATCGGGAATGTTGGCAAATAATACTAAATGAAACCGCCATAAATATTCCTCCACTGACTGGTGAATAAACTTATTCTCGTGTTATAAGATAGAGAACGAGAGAAATTCATTAACTTTAAGCTGTTCTGACTGTCCCTTAAATTCTCATATTAGCTACATCATTTGTGGTTAAATTGTTATTTTTTTTATCCCATAGAATGTGTATAATCTATCCCATAATGTTTCTTAATGCTGGAGAAGTTTTGCATTATCTGCTTATGGGTTTTGGAGATTTCGAGGACAAGGGAATGAAGCTTGTGGGCGTTATGAAGTGATTGACAATAAGTAATACTTCATTAAAGAAATTATATAGGTCAGTAGAGTATACTGTTAAAATAATGTTCTGAATCTGAAACATAAGATCATGAAGAGGTTCAAATCCTATAGTTCAAATATACAAACTGAAGTAATTTTATCCACATATTTTTTTATAAATATATATTTTTTTCAAAAGTTTTCCATCCCCTGCCCTCAATTCGAATAAAGTCATAATGAAGTGATTGACAATAAGTTATACTTCATTAAAGTAATTATCAGTAGTCAGTAGAGTATACTGTTAAAATAATGTTCTGAATCTGAAACATAAGATCATGAAGAGGTTCAAATCCTATAGTTCAAATAATCAAACTTAAGTAATTTTATCCACATATTTTTTTATAAATATATGTATTTTTTCCAAAAAGTTTCCATCCCCTGCACTCAATTTAAATAAAATCAACCTCAACCCAATCAAGCAGTTCAAGGATAATCTGCAAAACTTTTCCAAGAAAATCAACCCGACGAAAAAAAAAATCTGAAAATAAAATAATCTTATTAAAAATCATTAAGCTCACCGCATCCGTAATAACACGAAGCTCTTTTAGTATCAGTGCTAATTCGTATTCAGCTGATGAGCTTAAACACGTATGCGAGACAGCTTCATGTAATCGTCCACCAACATTAGGTGGAATGGGACCGCCACTCATTGGCCCGAGACTAACATCTTCACCTTGTCGAAACACCGTACGATAATATGTTGGATTGTGTGGCAATGTATTGCAACGATGATTGCATCGGAAGTCGTCGTCAATATCTAGAACATTTGCCAGCAATGACTTTGATGACCTGATAATGAGACAGAGATTTCTTTTAGTGATAATTTGATGAAAATTAAGTAGATTTGTAGATTGAAAAAACATGCTGTTGATGATGATGATACCATAATACATGACAAAATGATGAGTTCAACTTGGCGAAGGTAAGCATAGACATAAAGACTAACACAAAATGTATACAATATAAATTGGATTTGATTAATGCTTAAGCAATTAGTGTCCATTTCCGACTAAAGCAACTGAGATTCACATTCATTTTTATGAATGACTGAGGGCAATGTCTATATATGTAGCAAAAAACAGACTCTATTTCTCACATTTTATGTCCATGTGTATGTGTGAATATTTATTTTGGTCTATACTGTCAGAAGAAAAAAAAACTTATTTTCTATGCTGGTTATTGGATACAATATGATAAACACAATGTCTGTTTGCTTAACTTTCAGTCTATGTGAGCTTTACTTGATTGTTTTTAGAAATATTTGAATAGGAATTGATTGAATTGAGTTTTAACTTAATTGATTGCTTTTTGTAGGATGTAATTGAGAATCCATTAAAGTTATGGATGTATATTTACTTGTATAGCTTTTCAATTTATCAATTTTGAAGAATCCATCAAAATACTTCAAAATGCAGCTATCATCCAAAAATGCGCTTTCATCACATCCTTAAACAAAGCACAAACAATTTCAAACCCATACAATTTCCCGTTCATGGACACAGACATAGACGTGTGGATTCAAAAAACAGGACATATGATGTCGACACATAAAGACAGTGAGGAAGAGGAACAGAAGCAGATAAGAGGTGAATGAAATGCGGTAATGTAGACGGAAGAGGTAAATGGCACTCATTGCAATGAAAAATCGATTGAATGCAATTAAATTTCAAGTGAGATTGGATATACTCAGGTATAGCGGTAATTTTATGATTTTTGAACTGTGAATGAATGAGATGTAAAATATGTTTTTTTGTTTACCGTTCCCTTAATTCGACTTCACTCATCTGTTTTGTTTTCTCATTACTTCCATTTGTAGTTGGTGTGCAATCGCATGGATCTTGACCAGGACGAGACATTCGTAATATACATGGGAGCCAGTAAAGGAACACAACTCGAATCTGAAATGGGAAAATTTGGAATGTAATTAAATGAGTATAGAATGTGATTGGATGTTTAAAATCTGTAGCTTAAAGTTTGACGAGTAGACTGTATTTACCAACATTTAATAAATTATCAATTCCGAATAAAATTGATTTGATTTCACAATATTTGAAAGTCAACTGCGATGATATATTTGTGGTGCAATTGATTTGATTAAAGATGTAAGTTTGATTTCGAAAAAGCCGATCAAAAAATCAAAGTCATAAAGGTATAAAGACACTTAATTTTATGACTCGCCTGCCTTTTTATTAATAAAAGTATAAATCAGTAAAAAGTCTTTATAAATTGTAGGAAAAATCTATCAACCAGAAATTCTTGTAAGAAACAAAAGTCTGTAATTGATTAGATTTCAGCACAATAAATATTCATGGAATAGTGCGCGAATGATTAGTATGTCGGAGAATTCTCGCTCACAGACATTTTTATAGAATTAAATTTTTTTTTTCATTCTTTCACTTTTTTCCACATTTTCTTATTTCCTTTTCTGTACAATGAAGGAGCATCGGAGCAATAAATTATGCAACTTTACATCAAGCTTTAACACTTGCGACATGCCATGTACAGTGAGACAGAGGGATGCTGAATATATGTATGGAATTTGCTGAAGGAGCACAATGTTCTTTAATTAAATTTTCTATAACGATTTTTCGCATTTTCCACTTGCTCTGCCATACAATATAACTTGCGGGTCATGTGAATTGTTTCATGTTCATACAGATTTCTATCTCAAACACTCTCTTGGATGATATAACTTGTGTAATTGAATTTAAGTTAAGAAAGTTTTTCATTCATTGTACATTTATTGGGGATTTCTATCCTGACGTGATTCGATTTTTAAAAAAGTCTGTTTTTAAGTTTTTAAGGATTCAATAATTCATATTTTAATTGCAGTACCTAAAAGCTGTAGTCAAAGAGAGTGGGAGGTTACTTCTTTGTTTGAACCAAAAAAAAAGGAAATAAGGGTAGAAAGCTGAAGAGCTAGCTCCAGAGATGGCAAAATAAGATTATCTTTATCAATTCCAACTGGCTTTATAACAGTCTGAATTCTCAAAATATTATTTATTTCCCATTCTTTGGTTCCTAAAGTTGCAACCTAGCATGCATTTAATGTTATATATCCCTCAAACTTCTTAAGTTACGCAAGAGATCCTCTGATATTAATCAACTCGTAAATATAAAATGCTGCATCCGCAATTCAAAAAAACCTTACATCCAAAACTTCATCCGAATTCATGCAAAAATTTTAAAAGCACTCTCGTAAAATTTTATCGACAAAAAGATTCCCACAATTTAATTCATTTAATCCTACAATGACATCACGCTACATAGGTGCGAATCTCAGACTGAACATAATAAATTTAATTTATCTGTTTGGAATTAAATACATACCCATTCTGACATCTCATGTGTATCGGCATTACGATGATGATAATTTAATATTAATATTGTTGAAACTACTGACGACGCAACCATGAACATGATACAATTGAAATACGTTCCTGTAGATGGAGAAATAGTAAGCAGAGCAATTCATGTTATTACTATGAGTACAGTTCTTATCTCTCTTGTGGTTATTTGCACATTTACATTAAGTGACAACAACAAAAGGACGAGAAAAAAAATGAAAATAATTCACACATGAAAAAGACTGATGACAGCAGCAAAAGGCATCAACGAATATGCTTTGACTGCACACACATGTGTGTGTATAAGATGGATGTTCAAGTGTCTAATACAATAATACGAATATTACGTAAATGAAGAATTTCATGAAGTGACAAATCTCTCAAGCATTGTCATTACCAATCAAAGTACCAGTGCAGCATCATTGCTTCCTTTCCTCGTGATGAATGAATAAATGTGAAAATTATGGTTGAAGGTAGAACGTGAATATGTTTTATTATACATCTTATCATAGTCTCATCATTATCTATTCATTCTCAGTGTTTTACCATAATTTCATGCTATAACAAGAAAAATAAAATCTGTTGTGTTTACTCACCTAAGAGAGGCACAGCGTCTGAAGTGGCCGGCTATTGAATGATTTATGCAAATATTGAGATAGAATAATTTATTATTCAATTACGAGAACAAGATAAAAAGTGGAGTGAAGTGGATGAAAAAGTAAGCTCATTAAATCATTGAGACAATTGCAATTGTTAAATTCAAGGTATAGATGCTGGTGAATGTAGATTTTAAAGGAGACCTTATAATATGAAATTCTATGACTACAGAGAAGTCTCTGAGGCTATCCAAGGCACCCTAACATTGGTCAGCTTACAATATGAGGCATAAATCAAAAAGCTAGTCTCATGGATCACCACAGCATCACTTCTTCGTTCAAAATAATCACAAGCATCCATACCTTGATAATATTAATGCACTTACCATTGTTTCAGCCACCATATTAAGGAAGACGGTAAGAGACAAAAGAATTGTAACTCCTGTAAAACACAGAGAAGAAATAAAAGCCAAAACGTATGTCTATAAGTATGCATGTAACCATAAGAACTCTCACGAAGCTCCCATCATGAGAAGAAAGAATTAAAGACAAAAAAATGTAGGAGATGAGAATGACGAAGTTAAAGAACAAGAGAAATAGAGAGTGAGAGTAGCAATTAAGAATGATAATTAAAAGCATCACGTTATGTAATGAAAAGGGAAAGACGTTAAGCATGCTTTTCATAAAAGCACGCACCATAATAGCTTATGAATGACTTTATAATCTCAACAAAAAGTTTTTTTGTCTTAATTCTAGTGGCAACTGCGTTAAACATTAAGTGCAATTACAAAAAAAAAAACTAAGGAGTGAATATCTTCTTTTGTGGATTTGTTTGTTGAGCAAAAAAAAGGAGGAAAACGAGATGTTTAAGTAAGTGGAAAATATGAGTAAGGGCGTTACTGATAAGAGCATCATAATTTTTATTTACGATGATGATGATGCCACAATATACAAAAAGCATCGTCATGATGCTCAATTATTTGAAATGAGATCCTCAGATGCTCGCTGTTTATCGTGAGATGCATGATTACTTCCCTTTACGCCTTAAACAAAATCGTATTAAAATGATGGCGATAATGATCAAGGAATGGTGGTGTCGTTCATGAATTTTCATTTTAAATGAGCACCACCCTGACACTTTGAGTGAAAGATCTACTTTGTAAATTGTTTTTGCTCTTGGGTATGGTACGTGCTGAAAAGTTGGGCGATGAGAAAATTTAATTTATTTTTTTTTCTCCATCCACACTTTTCTTAAGTTGATTGATTTTTTACACGTTTATTGGCTGCTTACACGACTTTCATTGCAACCATGTGCGAGGGGTTGTAAGTGAAGTAATTAAAGTTCTTTTTTTTCTGTGTCTTTAATCAATTACTCATGGAATGAAAGTGCGATAAGAAGTTTCTTTAATGGATAAGTCCTGAACAAGAATGTGATGACAATTTTCGTACAAGATTGATGAGACTTTATTGTAATGAAATGTTGATGATAAATGTGATGTGCTAGAAAATTGTGATGAGCTTTCGTGAGAAAGTTAATAAAACTTGAGGAATTCAAAGCTTTCGTAATGGTATTTATGGTGTGAAGGATAATCGTAAGATGAAATCTATTGTGCTTCAGCACGCATTGTAGGATTGTGTTTTTAATGTATAAGGGAGAACGAGCTACCAACATAACTTGAAACCAGCTTACTAGATGGGAACCAAGGCGTGTACTCTTGGGATCAATCCCTTAATTATTCATCAACTAAAGGAGGGATTTCAAGTGGGATTCAAAGTTTGATGACAGGGATTTAGATTTTTTTCGGGATTTTTAAGGATTACTACCGAGTGCATAGGACTTGTTGTTCGCCTTAACATCAAATCCAGTAGAACATTTTTCACCAAAAATCACTGAATCACAACAATAAACAAAACTCCATTACTGCCCTCAGTATTTTAAAACAGCATACATAAAAATCCGAGCTTCAATAAACTTAATTAAGCACTTAATTAATTTTATCCATTTAAATGTTTTTCATCTCCATCAAAATTTCATAAAATAGACGGTTTCTGTCATAAAAATTCAATTAACTGCTGTACATCATAAAAAAATTATTTTGTGCATCATATGCTGTTTTCAAGCAATTACTTTACGTCAAATTTTATCATATCACATCTCTAACTACCTGTGTGTATAAAAAACCTGAAATTCTTCTTCATAAATTATTAAATAAACAAAACCAAAACGAACAAAAATGTTTTACTTTTGAAGCTGAAAAGTACGAGCATCAAGAATGTTGGAATACATTAATTTTGATATCATTGAGATGAATATTTTATAACTTTAAGCGTAATAAGTCAGAGGAATAGAAGAAGAAAGACAAACAGTAAAAACTTTTTTGTGTGCTCCTTGTCTAACCACAAACAGAAGGTGCTTGCTGGTGAATTTATATCCCTCACACAATAGCATAGATATGACAATTCTCATTTGGTTCTGTGGCGAGAAATGCAAGCAAGAATTGCATTTCATTTTTCATAATAAAGTCATCGCATTATTAAGCTCTTGTGAGGTTAACAAAAGGAAATTTCTCGTTAAGAAATAAAGTCATTAATCTGTTGACTTATAGTCTGTACTATCATGACTGCATACAACTCTCATCTCTCATTTTAGCGTAAATAAAAAGTTCTTTCTTTATTCTCATGATGACTTCTTTTGTCTTATACTTACCTAAAGATAATTTTTCACCGGAATCAGGCGGCAGGGTGAAGCCCAACAATGCCATCGATGCGATTAAGACACACGGCACAATCAAATTGAAGAAATAGTATAATGTTTTACGACGAATTAATATTGCAAATGTTATGTCAATATAAGGCTCTGTAGGGAATGTTGAAAAGTACAAAGAAGAATTCTAATTAGTAAAAGTTTTGAGGAGTTATTGGATGTCGTTGGAAGAATTTTGTCAAATTTTATGGATATTTTAAATTGTCTTGGGAGTCATATTTAAAATACTTGGTTTGGATAAATCAAAATTTGATAAAATTGGGATTCAAAGTGATTGACTTAAAGAACTAAATGTTATTGAATCGAGCGGAAACCATTTGGTTCTAATTATCTTGTTCTTATAGCTTTATATAAAAGCAGAGCTCGAAGTTGACTCGAGATTTTCATCGATTTTGTATGGCAAAGTTGACTCGACTCCATACAAAATGTCATCGACTTTGAGCTTTGTATAAAAGTTATTGACAGTACAAAATTCTTCCATGACTTTAAATTGTAAAGTTCCAGCCAAAAATACCAAATAATTTTTTTGAAAAATTAAAAGTTCGGGTCAATTGATGAAAACGAAAGGAAAACATAAGCAAATATAACTTCAATCATTTAAAATGACCCACCTCGAAAAGGAACACAAAATTAAATCCAAAGTGTCAATCATTTGATACTAAACTCACCTGGACAACAGTTATAATAAATTTCGTTACGTTGACCCGGGACGCCTGTTATTTTTATTCAATTATATTCAGTGCAATAATTCAAATGAAATTGGAAGAACAAGAAAAAAAGTCAAGAAAAGAAAGATATTAAGATGAATTCAGCATTTGATAGTGTACATTATTCATTTCCATCAAAATATTCCTATAATTGAGCAATATATCGCTCAATATAAATTATGGTGACGTGTAACGAATGCGTACGGAGATGTATGTGTATCATAAAGTAAGGAATTTAGTATTACAAATGTGTGCTATTAATGAAGACTTTATGGCTAAAGCTCACAAAAAAAAATGTCTGTAAGTTAACTTTTTATGTAACTTGTTAAGCTCGAGAGTAACAAGCAGATTCTGAATGAATTAATGGATTATTGTGAAAGAAACTCTTAAAAAAAGTAGCCAGTGCCATGTGTTTGTGGGAACTATGCGAGAAAAAGAGATAGAAAGTCATTAAAACTATCAAAGTACTAACAATAAACATAAATAAGTTTATTTCTTCTTATTACAACTACTAAGCTGCTGCTGCTTCTTTTCTCGCATAGTTGTTTCCTAATTTGCTATCTACGAAATAATAAAGAATTAATAACACACAAAGTTAAGGATTTCTGCTCCTGTCAGCCTTGATTACTATCTATGTGCTCTTTTGCTCATCTGGGGATATCCCTTGTGGTGATTTTTGTCAGATTATTTTGAAATTGTGTGGTTGGGAAGTTGTCATGAAGCTAATGAATGATTTAAGGTATAGTATGGATAGTCTGTGTACCATCTTAGCATTTATGGGAAGCTGATAACCAAAGCATTGATTTATTAAAATATAAATCTAATTCAGACTAGGCTACTCGAATGACACAAGTCGGTTGCTAGTTTGACTTTGGCATGTTGCTAGATTTAAATCCAGAACCATGTCAGAGTCATGCCGCCTTGTTGCTGGATTTCTGTTCTTGTGCAATTCGGGATAACTAGGCAATACCTTGTTACAAACCATATTCTGTGAAGATTTCAATTCAATCCAAAAAAAACTGACAAAATAGTTCACAATATCTCCTCTATCCGTAATCATTATATTGCCTTTCAATTTAATTGAATGTTTATATCATTGAACTTAACAATTTCTTTCCTATCTCTGTTAAATGGGAGCAGAAATTTCAACATCATGTTCATTGATGCTATCACATTCCAATTTTAACATCACATATGATACACAAAAAAAAAGAAGAAATGCTTGAATTGAATGGAACTAACACAATAAATAAAAATAAAAACGAGAAAGCACATTCATTACATTTATATAATCATAAATATTTTGTATGTAACATTAAAAGCCATTTTTGTAACTTTTATGTGTTGCTACTTAGTGTTCCTGATATTACAAAAACTACCATCTTCATCCACCTCTCCATCCTTTTGTGTTTGTGTTCATGTCTTCTTCAATTGTTTTCATTTTATATTTATTTATTTATTTTTTCACATTCTGGCTGAATGTTGGAAGTTAAGTTGAGTATTTTTTTTTATTATACTGGTTATGTGTGGTTGTATTGTATAGTGAATGTTTTGGATTTTTTTCTCTTCATTTTATAATCTTATTTTATTGTTGTGGATGCTTTCTGGAGTTGCCTTTTATAACATTTAATTATTATGGTATCATGATGAACTACCATAAATTTACTTCTGTTCTGTTGTTGAGGATTATTATTTTTATTTCATGTGTGATTATGTAAAATGTGTAAAGTCTTAAATTATTATTGTTGTGGTAATAAATATAATTGGAATTGAAATACCAATGAAAGCTACTAATTAAGGGAGTGATTCTTCATAATTAGGGGTTGCATGATGTGACTCGAAAGCTTGGTTGGCCACCACGTTCGAGAGTTTGGGATTTTTTGCATTCATAGCTGAATCATTAAGAATTGAGACTTCTAGTTAAGTTAACAAGATTGGAGGATCTTAATACAGTTCCATGATAATGTCACATAGTTATAACATTCCATGTTGCTGTAAAAAAGCTTGATCCCGTCTGTATTAGCAATTTCTATGCCTTCAATTAAAACAGCAAACAAAAATCCCCAAAAAATGTCAATAAAACCAACATTTTGCAATCCCTAATCATGTCTATTAAGCACATTAAATTTTGATAAATTTCATTAAATCCCACAAATTAAATCTAGACAGTTGGTCTTGTGGTTCGGTAAATTGCCTGTCAAAACGCATGCACTTTAGTCGTACTGCTGATAATAGTGAATGTCGTAAACAGATCTTGAAAGATTTATGTACGAGAATGAAAAGTTGATGTTGATTTGACGCTTAAGACAAGTGAGAATGCCGGAAGGCCAATAAATCTACAAAGTTAAAGCATTTTAGCTTCTTGTGTGTCAAATTAATTTTACAACCACAGTGTCAACAGTTCAGGAGGGTTATGTATTATTTATAGCATAGCAAAGTTGAGTGATGACTGATTGCTTTTGAGATTTTTTTAATTGTCTGGTTTGTTGTATGCTGTTTGAGAAGACTTGATGCAGTGGATGTTTGATTTAATCGGAAATTGGCTAGACGGATGTAATTTTTAAGGTCTGCATGGATTAAAGCCGGAACCTCATTTCGTAGAAAAATGAAAATCCTTCTTGGAAAATTGATAAAATTAATATGCATGAAAACGGCACATGATGAATTAATAATCAGCCTGAAATATTAATTTTCAATTTTTTTTATCACTGCTGCTTTTATGTCTTTCCAGTACAAAATCCAATTAATATGATAATCGCTTTGTTAATTAAATATTTGCGAATTTTTTTCGTATCAAATTCCAGACCTTTTGTGAAAAAAAAATAATATTTTTAAATATCGAAAAATAATCATGTTGATTCAGTCGATTCATATTAATTAGCGATTGTCAATTAATTTATTCTTCATATCACTCCGAATAAATTATTATTAACACAAAAATCCACTCCTGAATGTGGTTAACAGAGAACAAAAAAAAGGATCGATTCATGATGACTTCATGAGGATGATGACGGAGAAGAAAAAAAAAGGTTATTGACGAGCATCAAGAAGAACATCTCACAAAAATAAATGATATTTTGTTGTTGTTGCTATATTTATCACTCACAACATGCACAATACAATACAAATTCACGAGCGATATATAGGGTTTTATATACAATTTTATGGAGAATAAAAGGTCGTAATGGGACATCATGTAATATTTTGATATTCTCGAGCAATAAAGAAACATTTCTCAGCCTTCTCTTTTGTATTCAGAAGAGAAGTGACCAACATTGAGAATGCGGTAACATGGGGGTACATAAAAGTACGAAAAATTTACCCAAAAGTTCCCATTCTCCATTTGTTATAAAACTGCTAATATCACCACCAGCTTCATCCTGTAGTTGAACGTCAAGCTGCAAATGAAAAATGAAAGGAAAAGAGAAAAAAGAAATGACGATTAATTATTGTGCTCTTTTTTTTTGTAGCTTATCAAGCATTATTAAATTGCTCGGACCGTTTGCTTCCATTTCTATGTACACAAGAAAAACTTTACTTCTTGTTGTGTACTTTGCCTGGTTAATGGAAAAAAAACATTTTCATTAAAAATTATTAAATTATTTTTCTTTCGCATTTCCTTTAAATTATTTTAGCGCGTTTTTAATGAGAAAAAGTCGTCACTTTGTTCTTCAAAAGTCATCATTAATTTAAGAACTTTTATAATGCAAGTAACTTAAATGCTATTTGATGGATATGTTTTGTCAACTATATGAATGAAGAAACCATGCGAAGTTCAAAACCTGAATGTTGTTCGCAAATAAGCTTTGTTACTTAAGATCAAGGTTGTGAAACTGATCACAATTGATTTAACTTGATTAATCAGTTCTGCATCTTTAACTTAAATCAGAAAATTATCTAACAGCCACCAAAACATTACATTCCCAACATCCCAAAAAAAAGTCCATATTTGCATCATAAATCCCTTTCATGCTTGCATTGTCTGCAATATAAAAAAATCTTTCATCATTTATTATTGTTGTTTCATTGTTCATGCTCCTTTTTTAAATTCTTGGCTTCACATGAAGCCATTTACTGTGCAAACTGGAGCAAGGACTAAATACTTTACTGGAAAATCGACAAAAGAATTTAATGCTCAATTGTAAAATTGAAATGCATCAATGGAATTGAAAATTCTTTTAATGAAAATAGCAAAAATATTGCAAATTGATTTCTAGTTTATTGAATTAAATTGGTTCTACTGTTGAAATGATGATGCTTGGCTGTAACAATAAAAGAGATCATTGTTTGAATTGAATTTCTATTTATGAATTTTGCAATACGAATTTTCATGTAACTATGCTTCTTTTTGATTTATTTGAGGATTCTTTTCAATTTTATCAGTTTTGTAATTGAGTTTTATTGCTTCATTTTGTAGAGTAATTGTTCAATTTAGTATGAAATTGGATAAAACAATTATTTATTCAATAGTTTTGAAATTATTGATGTGAATTAATTTTGAATGCTTAATATCCAGCAGTAAGACCACAGGAAAGATTTTGGTCAACGCCAGAGAATCAAATTTCTTCTATTTTCGAGTGCTTTTTGATTTAATTTCGGCCTAATAATTTCATAATGACTGTATTATTTAAATTTGTTTTTGTTTTGCACCATCAAGGTCACACAAAAAAGGTCCTTAGAATTAAATATTCACAAAAATTTATTGCGTGATCAAAATTCACTTTTGAAGCTTAAAAAACTAATTCTTTTCACAAAAAATCCACTTAGAATATAAAATTACTCTAAATTTAATGATCAATTATTCAAGGCACTTTCAAGTCTAAAATATTATTCAAGCAGAACAATGAAAAAAAGTTTAACTACATTTGCAGCTGAATAAGCATACAATCTCATTTGTTGGTGGAATTTTGAGAACCTTAAAAAATATGAAAGCATATGAAAGCAACATGAGTGAAATTCGACAATGAAAAATAAGTCAAGAAAAAGTTTTCTTCGCAGGATGAATAAAGGAGAAGGAGGAAGGGAGACTTATTGTGTTGAAAGTGCCAAAAAATGAATTTTTTTCTGCCAGATGAAAAGAAGAAAGGAACATTTTTGTTTAACAAAAGTAGCATATACAATGCTTAAATAATTCTTTTTCTACTTCTTATTTCATGCACACATTTCTTCATTCTTGTCATAAACATTGCGCTGCTGTTTGATAAAGTTTTAGCATAAAGTGTTATTTTATAATTTTTTACTTATTCTTCTTTTTGGCGCAATTTTAAATCACTGGTTTCAATCATTTCTTTTTCGTCGATAAGTTCCATTTTGAAGGAAATAAAAATATTGTTCTTAATGTTATGAAAGGCTTAAAATGTCTTTCATTCTTTACGACTAAAGTTTAACTAGGTGACAGAGCCAGCAATAGAGTCAGCCTTTTGTTGTAACAGGTTGTAACCTAAGCTCCACTTAGGAACATGGTTACAGTAAGTAAGTAAGTAAAGTTAAAGTTGTCTGAATGTCGATATCCTTTCGGCTATGTACTTCATTCAAGCTACCATTATCAATTAACCATCCAATCCACTAAATGGCAAACCTCATATATGAACAACCCCAAATATGATTTTTTATAAATATCATTATTTTTAAAGAGCGTGAAAAAGGAGAAGAAATTATGAAAATGAAAGAATTATGTTTTCACAAACAATTTGCACGCGTCTTATGCATCATTAATTTAATTCTTCTGTTTTTTATGCTTTTACAATTTCATTTCATATCTTTCTTCATATTATTTTACTTGAATATTTGTGATACTGAGATAATAGCTTGCTGAAAAGAGTCGAAAACTTTTTATGAGCTTTTTTCCGAGAAATGAAAAATCTTTTGTCACATTTTTATGGAAAACATAATTTTTGAAATTCTTTTTTACTCAAACTTTTGCAATGAATAAAATTTTTCATGTTAGGTCAAATTGAGTTGATTTTTCAGAGTGATATATTAATTTGAATTGGGTTTGGATTTAGTGAATTATTTAAAAGATGTGAAAGTTTATAAATTGAAAATCATAGATTGTTTGAGATCTATGTTCAATCTATTATATATTAGATAACATCATCATCCCAGAAGAGTGGCTATAGCAATAGCAAGAAGACATCAAATATTATTTTAATTAACTTCTTTCCTTCAATAATCCGTGACATTCCGTAAAGTATCAAATTAATTTATTTGACATTTCCACGTCATCAAAACTTTTAACTTAATTGAAAGCCACAGAAAAAATAAATCATATTGTTTGCACTGTATTCCAGTAACTGCCATTCATCAGCATGAAAACAAATTGTTTACAAACATAAAATGATTAAAATAATGGAAAATTTCATCTCATTAACCTCATGTCCAACTTTTTTTTACAGAGCTCACGTCTGGGTATTAAAAAAAGTATTGTAATTGCTTTTATTTCAATAAAATGCTGAATCTCTTACTATCTAGATAATTTCAAAAACGAAGATTTTTACAGCTTTGAGTAAATGAGCACTCCACGGATAAAAATATTCTAAGGTTAATATCATTTCTTTTCTGCAATGGGAATTCTATACGAATCAATTGTTTGCTTAAAATCTGACTTTTGATTGGATTTTGCTGTTCTGAATAACTTTTTATTTAAAACTAGAACGAAAACTTTTCAATTTACAATTTCTGCATTGATTGCAGAAACTTTAGTTTTATGCATCATTAAAAGATTTCAAGTTTTTTTTCAATCAAAGATGAATTTGAAGTGCTTAAATGCTCATTCTTTATTGTTCATTTAACTTAAAAAAAACGAAAAAGTAAGAATTTTTCATATTGGTTGAGGATTTGATTGATAATTTATAAAGTTTACAGATTGATTGTTCAATTTTAAACAAAGGAGGAGTAAATATGTACTTCTTGCACTCAATATTGTGATTGAGTTCATCTTATATATTAAACAACTCTCAAGATCATGTCATTATGCCAGAGATCGAAGCCGATTTTTTCGGCTTAACTCAAGTTTTGATTTTTTTGATAGAAAAGAGCCATTTAACTACCATTTTAAGTATTTAAATTGAACTTTACATGCTTTACTATGATTTTGTGTAATATTTTGTCAGCATGTAGCTATAGTAAGCTCAGAATTTCAAGTTAAACGATTTTAAGCCGAAATTTAAGCCGATCGGCTTATCATCTACTAAATTGAAATTCTGAGCTTACTATAGCTACATGCTGACAAAATATTACACAGAACCATAGTAAAACATGTAAAGTTCAATTTAAATACTTAAAATGGTAGTTAAATGGCTCTTTTCTATCAAAAAAATCAAAAATTGAGTTAGGCCGAAAAAATCGGCTTCGATCTCTGCATTATGCAATAATGTAGTCATGAGGTGATAAATCTAAGAGTAAATGCTTGAATTTTCACTTCAGATAGTAAGAATAGGAGCTTACATTTTCACACAATCAGAATACGATTCATTCATTAAAACTTGATTAATACGTTGCAATCATAAACAAACAGGAGAGTTCAATACTCCAAACTCATACAATTGATTTCTCAAAACGAATGAACAAAGAAAATGAAAAAAAAGTAAATTCCAAATAAACTTTTTTAATGATTGTAAACTAAAGTGTAATGAATTGATGTAGAGTAAATGAATAAGAAAACTTTTAAAAAAATCGTTCGTGTTTCTTCATATCACTTAAGAAATTTTCTTTTAAAAAGTTTATCAGAATTCTTAAACAAAATTAAAAGATCCAACAGCAATTGTAAATGTTAAGAAGTTAAATTGCTTAAAACTAATGAAACAAAAAGTTTTTGAAAAACTAAAGGCAGCTTGGAAGTTATAATATATTCTAATTGTTATAGTGCACAATGTGTTCTTGATGGGATTGAAGGATATGATACTGAAATTGGGTTAATGCGACACTGCATTGTAATGGCATTAAGATAAATTTGAAGAATTCTAATCGTTTATTTTTTCAAAGATGATTATAGAGCATAACTTGAGAGTATTATTCTTGAACAAGAAGTTCGCTGTGAAACCATACTAAATAGTCGAAACAAGGTTAGGGGACGTCCGAAATTAACGGTCATTTTTCAAAAAAGAACAATGAATTTCCAGGAATTTCTATTTATCATTTATTGCTAACGTATTAGGAATCGGGTGGTTGATGATCATCAGTTTTGAGAGATTGAGTTCGATTCTTACCAAATATAATATTCTCTGGAATCTCTGGATCATGTTAATTTCATCATAATTTTAACCATAATCAATCACAGCTGGTATCAATATATTGATATGATCTAAACAATATTAACAGGACGTTTTCAATGTGTCCCACGTAAATAAATTAATTACCTCTAATTAAGCAAATTTGTTAATAGTATGAACAAATGAAT